CTGTGCGCTCGCTGTACATCACCTTGTTGGTTTTTTTTGTAATATGTAATTTATTGCCACTGCAATGATTGAAATACTGTTTCTCTATGCACCGCCGCATATTCACGGCAGCAAGAACAAATATTAAATTGGTCGCTGACACGAGAATAAATTGAACATCGATGCTGTTTAAATATCGGTTGCGCTTGGTTTCTTTCTCTCTCTCTCTCTCTCTCTTTCGACTCGGTTCGGTCAGAATAAGAAATAGAAATTATTGGATCGAATATCATATTTCCTGAACCGCAAACTCCTAGACTGATCAATATACAATTATGTTTTGATTTCGATCAACCGCATCATCGCTCCTCTCGCCTCGCTCGCTCTTTCTCTCTATCCTTTGAATCTCTGTCGCTCGCTTGCCTCACACCATTTTCAAAGTGACCCAATGCACCACAAGACTGCCTATCATGTTTCTATCCGATATATGATTATAGCATGCAAGTGATTCACGTAATGCCACTCGCTTGATGGATATGGTTTGGTCTGGGTAATCTAGAATAGCATTAACTTTTTTCACTTGGCTTATTACAAAGTTCAATGCATCACTCGATATCCGTCTATCTCTCTCTCTCTCGCTCGTCGATGGCCACCGTCGATTAGAACCGTACGTGTGTGTTGTGGAACTGCTGCCATCATAATAAACGAAAACCAAAACGGAGATCGAAGTGCAACAGAGATGAGAGAGAATGAAAAAACAACGAAAAGATTGATGTAAAATTAGTCGAGTGTTTTTTTTCTCTTCTCTCCATTCCGTTCCGTGTGGTTTTCACCTTTTTCTTTATTGCTCTCTCTCTCTCCCACTCTCTCTCTCTCTCGCGCACTCACTCGCTCGCTATGGTCATTTCGATGCGTTTCCATCGCCTAGTCTCACACCTCACAGAGTTCATCAGTTGAACCGTGAACGAAAAAAAAAACGATCGACGAATGCAACATCAACTAATTAGTACAATCAGGATCGAAAACAAGTATCAACCAGAGATTCAACACACCATTTTTTTTCCTACTACATATCAACACACAAAGCAAATATTCACCGCGATGCTTCTGCTGCAGCTAATGAATTCCTTCGTTTTTCCAACAATTTTTTCTTTTAATTTGTGATCATTAAATATGCCAGCAACCTTCCTTCAACATCCATCCATTCAATCTCATTTTGACGAAGAAAAATCCAATCGAATGATTGATTCACGCAAAAAAAAGCGTGTGTAATTAAATTTTTCTAGTCCGAAACGGGTGGAAAATTGAAAAGCGGCGCAATCAGCCGTTCTTCTTATCAACATATATTATGCACCATCATCAGCAACTCATTATGCACCAGAAACGATCTAATATGTTTTCCATTTTGTTTATTCGCTCCAGAGAAATATCTCTTTCTCTCGATGGAAATTAATTCGATTTTTTTTCCTTGTACCTTCACGAATTCCAATTGATATTTAAACTCTTTTTTTTGTTTTATGCTTCGTGTTCTCTATGATTGTATGGTGAATGTAATTATAACCCCGTGTCGATGCAACAATGTACGTAATATGTATTGCAGGCTATGTGCAGCATATACAAATTTTATGATTTTCATCGTTTTTTTTCTCTCCTTTCCATTGCATCGATTGCAATGCCCATAAAAAAAGGGAATCCACCAGCAACAGGTATAGATGCGATGAAGAGAAAATAAATCCAAATCCAATGGAAATAGATCTGAAGAGAGCAGAAAAAAACACAACAACGAAATTGTAATGTTGCAATGATACAATGTGTATCTGTGTCGGGTTCATTGTTGCATTGCTGCTGGTATTTCGTTTGAATTGAAAACTACACACATATTTTTTGTCCGTTCGTGCATATAAATTTTCAAAGTTCTTCAGGGCACACAGCACAGCGTATAGTAAATTCAATCGATTTTCTATGTTTTATACTCCTCTTCAGCTTCTTCATATTTTTTTTCTTTCTTTGGATGTGCATAGTTTTCGTTGTTAATAATTAAAAGCATCTTCTATGCTCCTTGCTCTCGAACCCGATAAAAAATAATGACCATTTGTTGCTGGTGGATGCGCTCTTCTATTTCTTTGTGTGTTTCCAGTCAGTTTTTTCTTCTTCTTTCGTTGTCGTTGTTGTTGTCTTCTCGTTTCATTTTTCGTACGCCATGAATTCGGATTTTGTTTGTTGGAACAAAAAAAAATGGAATTGACAAAAGGCAAAGAAGCAAAAGAGACTATGGCATACCAGTGGAATCGTAGCCGGTGTATTGTGTAGTTATGGATGATTAATTACATAAATTTCTGTTTGAATACAGGAACACAAACGACCAAATAGAACAATGCTCTTGCTGTGTGGATGCATTGACGTGGTTCTTGGTAGGACCAAATCAAAGTACACACACACACACACAATGCAATCGAACGTTACAGAATGAAGGGAAAAAAAATCACAAACGATGAACGTAACGAATCGACAGAGACAAGATGCGACTCGGAGAGTAGTCGAGAGATTCACAGCGAAGCACATCCAAAGGGAAATTCGAAACTGAACAAATTATGAACGGTTGATTTCGAACCGGAATGACTTGATGCTTCAGCATCACACACAATGATCTGATTGTTTCTTCGTTTTTTTGCTCTTGTGCACACTTTATTAAGCATAAATTGAAATCGGTTATCATTTGATCACCGACCTAAGCATAAATACGGCGTGTATTTGTGCAATTGAAACTTGCAATTAATCCGTTTGTTTTTCCTTTCATCTGTTTACTAAATCGAGTGTTTGTGTCTGTTTCGCGGAGAGACTGTAACGTTGACATTCTACGAAATCTTGTCGGATTTATCGCATCAATCCACTTTATATGTTTATGTTTGCATTTGAATTCGTTTATGATCGAATCATCGATAAAAAGAAGTGAAGAAAAAAAAATTGCACGCTCATTGCAATTGCAAGTTTAAACAAGCGACAGACAGCTGCTGCTGATGCTACCCGAGTGAGCTGGCCTCTTCAAGAGAATTATGTCGACTAAACTTCATTTCCACTAATTAAACAAATGTTAACGACAATATTTTGTGCAGCCATGGTCGGCTTGTTGATCGGATCAAATTGCGAACGTGAATCACGCCGTTGATTGCCATTAAATCACCCAATTGATATTGTTCGTCTCGTCAGCAGCTAAATCTGACTGGCTGCACGAATGTTTACTCGCTGCTCCAATGTTTATTGAAGAAGAAGAAAAAAAGAACAACAACAACAACAACAACAACGGTTACACGCTACAACCAGATGATTGCCAAACAAACGGGGCGAAAGTACTCGCGGCTGATCAATAGCCGTACAAATGCGAATCAAATGTGATTTCGCAAGATGAATCATGCTCGAGTAAATGAAAATAATAGTGAAAACTGGCTACACTGATGTAATTATACCGTGAGCGTGTGTGTGTGTACGCGTTCCGAATCGTTACAACAATCGCACAGTCGATTACATAGATATTTTTCTTTCTTTCTCTCTTGCTATACCAAATTCCGAAATAATATCGCACGCTTGTCATCATCTTTACAGCACACTAATGAAACAGGTGTGTAAACTGTCGACAGAAAGAAATAAACGCAAGAAGAAAAGAAAAGGAGAAAAAAACACATATGACTAAACCGCCCATTATTATAAATCAACAAAGAGCCTGAGCTGCAAAATCCAATGGAGAATAATAAAATCAAATAGAAAAAAAAATAAATCAGAAGAAAATCTGGCCAAATAAACGAGATATGACTCGTCTCTTGCTCTCATGTGAGCGAAAAAAAAATATTTTGTAGCTCATTCCGTGTTTGGCTTACTTCGGATCACATTCATAGCGCGCTAACATGCTTGGCGTATAAAAGAAATAAAAGTAATCGAAATCGATTATGTAAGGTGTAGCATGTTATGGTAACGGTGTGTGCATTTTTTTTTCTGTATCGCGCTATATATTTCATCAACTACGTAATCGGTTGCTGAAAGTTCCGAGTGTCTGTAGTGTGTGCGCGCTCACATAATATTTTTTTTTCTTTTTTGAAACAAACGAAAAAAAACAGCGAGTGAAGAGTTTTGCGAGCGTGTGTGTATGCACGAGAAGAAATAGAGTGAAAGAGATTCAATATGGTTTGCCCGAATCGTCTCACTGTTTGTCTTACTTCACTGCATTCGCACCATTTTAATCGGGCGGATTGTAAGCGTATAATTTTGATCCAAGAGACAAAGGAAATCACCCGATAAATGGTACAGTTAAAGTAGTTCAAGTTTTTGAGTGTCTTTTCCTGTTTTTTTCTCTGTCTCTCTCTCTCTCTCGCTTAGCGCGAACACTGCACACGCTTGTGTAATAATAAAGCGAAATATACAAAAGACAGTTAAATGGCAAACGAGCATATCGTCGAAAGAATCGGCTCTGCTTCTCATCTCGTACAATGAGCAGAGTTAAACGAAAAAATATTGCATTGAAAACGCTCTCCTTTCGGATTGACTTTCGTAACAACATTCTCACAAACTTGGCACCGCGCAAAACTTTATATTCGGCTTTAAACGAGTTTATTGTTTGTCGCACTTTACATTCGAGGAATTCCTCATGATTTGCATAGGCGACAGAGCGCACGAATTTTATAGCTCTCACCCATCTATCCATCCATCCATCCCCGCGTGACGCCCAACACACCAACCGTATTAAAAACCATTCGAACTGAAGCAACAAAATAAAGAAAACCATTCAAATCGCAATCGTTATGTGTAACGCTACAAGAAATCACGGTACAAAAAGCGAATTTCCGCTAAAACTCGATCGGCCGGATATCATTTGCATGCATCACAGAACATTGAAACAACTCAATCAATTGTTTTTCATTTTTATTTTATTTTTTCGTTTTGTTTTTGTTTTCTTGTAATAATATTTTGAATTATTTTGCAATTTTGTCTAATGGATTTCGTTGTTTGTAATTTTTTTTCTCATTTCATTACAGATAATGAAGTTATTACCGATCCCATTGCCGCCCCTAGGTGCTCCACCACCAATCGGAATGTTTGCACAAGATTTATTGTGGCGCTATCCAGCACCATCTAGCCCATTGGCTGAACTTAAAACACAATTGCCACCGCAATTGCCGACCGATCCGCGTGTGTGGAATCGCGACGATGTTGCCATATTCCTGCAGTTTTGCGAACGTGAATTTGATTTGCCAAAATTCGAAATGGATCTCTTTCTAATGAATGGCAAAGCATTGTGCCTGCTGACAAAGAACGATTTGGCTGAAAGAATTCCTGGCGCTGGCGATGTCTTACACAATGTGCTACAGATGCTTGTCAAAGAGTCACAGATGATGCACAAAAATCTGCCCAACAGCCCAATCACACCAACCAGTCGCTATCATCCATTTTCACCACACAGCCAACCGCCAACACCGAATTGGTCGATATTGGCACCGCCAGACAGCCCATTTCATCCAGCCCACATTCAACATTTGATGCAATCAAATTCGGTTACACTCAGCCCAGCACCGTCGGTCGATTCACAGGGTCGCAGTCCACCACAACAGGAAATGTTGCAACAACAAGCACAAGCCTTCCAACAAAATGCATCAACAAGTGCTGGCAGCAGCAATCAATCCGATTCCGATGAAGATAGCTACTCGGAAAAACCACAAATCACAGTGGATCAACACCAATCCAGTCCACCATTGACACCATTGTGCAAAGATGCATCCGCTTCGTTGAGTTTGTCCCAGCAAATCTCGAATGTTGTTAGCTCGTGGTCAATGCATCATCAAGACAATTTCGGTAGCAGCAGCGGATTGAGCAGCGGTAGCTCATCGGCTCCAACCACTCCATGCAATTTTGCCCCAGTTAAACGTGAATTTTTCCCAGACACACCAGAACCAAATACAAGTAAGTAGACAGGTTTTTTAATAATCGATAGCTTTGAGTCAAGATTTAACCATCTAGTTGATCTTGATCGATTCAACCGTTGGAAACATTTTTCGGTCAATTTTTAACCTTCTTTTTCATTCTTCTCTTCAAGATGGACGATTACTTTGGGATTTCTTGCAACAATTGTTGAATGATGCAGCTCAACGTTACAGTAATTTCATTGCATGGAAATGCCGAGAGACCGGCGTATTCAAAATCGTTGATCCAGCTGGCTTGGCCAAATTGTGGGGCATTCAAAAGAACCATCTCTCAATGAACTACGATAAAATGTCACGTGCTCTCCGTTACTACTACCGTGTCAACATTTTGCGAAAAGTTCAAGGCGAACGCCATTGCTACCAGTAAGTGCCATACAATTGCATTAAAACCAACTGCATTCCCGGTGTAAATTTTATTAAATACCGTTTCTTTTGTTCTCTTCTGCAGATTTTTGCGTAATCCAACCGAATTGAAATCAATCAAAAACATTAGCCTCTTACGTCAGCAACCACCACCGGCACCAGCTTCGTCAAATCAAACATTGAACAATAAAGTGAATGAAAGCAGTAACAACAACGGCAACAGCAACGGTACCACCCAAATGGGTGCACATCTGAATGTGCAATCGTTGCTCCACCAACAAGCGCCGCCATCATCGCCACGCGTTCACGCATTAAACGGTGCCTTTCATTATTTAACCACATCAACTGTACCTGACCGAAGCTCACCGCCACAGTCGCATTCATCGTCGCAAAGTGACATGGACGACCAGCCAACCGATTTGAGCACCAGTGGCCGAACATCAAATCCAGACTGCTATCCGTAAGTGTTGTCACATTTTCTTCGCTCAGATTAAACAATTCAAACCCAAAAGTCGAATGATCTCATTGGATTTTAATAGTAGTCTTTTCTCTTCATTCATAGATTGATCCGAAACTCAAATGGACTAACAACAATCCGTTTGATCCAACCACATTCACCGCAATCACAACACATGGACGATTATCCATCGCACCATTCCGATAAAGGTGATCGCACCAGCCCGATGGCTACCGATCTAAGAAAAATGGAATAAGCACGATTCAATGAAACAAAAAAAAAGCGAATCGGAAACGTGGAGGAAAAATTAACTATATTTATTTCTTGCTTGCAACAAGTGCTTGCATTTCGATCTTCCCTACATAATAATTTGAGTGTAGCCTTTAGCTTAAGAATATAATCGCTTGATTTTAAACATTGCAATACGCACAATGAACTCTTTTTACGACAGAAAAAATGATAACAACAACAGATTTTATCGAATAGACAATATACATATATAAATATTATAAATTTTTGTTTAATTAGCTTACTTGTAAATATTTACATTCATCTTTTAACTATGAAAACAGAAGAAAAAAAAACACCGCCGAAAAAAGCATATTCTGAAACATACATATGAAAATAGCATGCGAAAAATAATGACGATTTTCATGAAATGGCAAGGGAGTTTCTCTTTCTTTCTTCTACAAATAATACACTTTCTTTTGTAAATGTACTAGCTTTAATATCATTTCCATTTTAAGAATATTATCGTATTAAACATTAAATAAATTGGCGTTAGGTGTGATGTATTTTCCGAAAGACAAGCACGGAATTTTGGATTGAAGAGTATTCAGTGCATATTAAAACAAACAAAAAAAAAATTGACAAAAACGCAGATAATAATCAAATTGTGCCAAATATACCGAAATTATTCGAAACAAATAGAAATTCGATCGATCAATCGAAACGCAAACGGTGAAAGAATTCTTTTTTTTGTCGATTATCCGAAATTTAACAGTACAGTTGGAAATTTCAATATTTGAAGAATTTGCAAAACTAATTTTGAATTGGATCCATATATATATGTATATCATGGCCAAACATGTTCAAACAGACTTGTCAATTTAATTCCAGAAGAAGAAATACAGCGAGGATTACCGTTATTCAACAAACACAGAACAATCGAGAGAAAGAGAAAACAAAAATTTGACAGTGACATGTGCCAATTTCTAATTCTATTTAAATATTATCATTTGCGTGTCGGATAGAAGCGCGAGTTTTCTTTTTATTTCTTTTCTATATTTCATGTGCAACGAGACAATGAAGCGAGAAACTAAATCGTATTTCTATTTTTTATTTTAAATTTTAAATTTCATAATTTTCTTTTGATTTAAGCCCACTTTTATGCGATAAGACTTAGATTTATTTACGCATGCAATTAAATAACGATATTCTAACGAATGAGATGAGATGAGAGAAAGGAGCCCCAATGCGCACATTGTAAACTAAGATTTAAGCAGAAAAATAAAAAGCACCCTATTCTTTTTATCCGTATCGAAACCATCCGAAGAGATATCCGTTTTTATTTTTCGACAGCCAGCTAACACACAAAATCAACCACTCCTCTCTTTATTTTGAATTTTCTTTTCAACTTCGAACATTCGCAAATTATTATTCATGTTTATGCTCCTCCCTTTTGTTGGTCATCTTTCTATTGAGTCATTTTTTTCCTATGTTTATTCTTTTGTTCAGTGGAATAATAATGATTCTGCTACTACTTTTATTTGACGAAAATTCTTCCATTTTCATTTTTTTAATTTGTTGTGCTCGAGACCATGGTGTCACACCACAACACTCCCAGCTCTTCCGTTTTTTTTACATTGACTAAAACACCGCACGGTGTGTGATTAAATAATAAATACTTCTTGTTTGTAAGTGAAGCGAATTAATGAATTCATAAGAGATAAATCCACGTGTGATGTACGAAAAAAATTTACAGAGAAAATTAAATCCACTTTTTAGCATTAAGACACTTTCTGAAAAACAAAAAAAACTAAATGTATTTACACAAGAGACAATTTTATAACGATGCTATAGAGGAAAAACCTGTTGCATGTGCTGTTTTTTTTTCTTCTTTGGTTTTCCATTTGAAATTTTAAATTTTTTTTTTATTTTACGGTCCAATCATGAAGAGTAGAAGATGAAGAAAAGATGCGTAATTTTTAAATGCAAATTTTAAATAGATTTTAATCCAATTTGTAACAGTTATTTTTAGGAGCCATTGTATTCTACAACATGAATTTAATGAGTAGAAGGAAAAATAAAATGTTATCGAGAAAATTTTTCGGTATTTTTCCTTTATTTTGAAACGTTCAAGGTTTGACTACTTTCAGAGAATTTTTTTCTTTTTCTTCCAAACGAATACATAAAATCTAAGGGAGATGGTCTAGTTATGAGACAGCGCCAGTTATGAGACAGTCAATTATTTCTCTCATATGCTATGGAAATGTTGGTATGAGAACTGTCAATGTCCTTTATTTGATGTCCGCCAGTTTTTAGGCGAACACGGAAGTGAATAGACGCATTGCTTGTATACGCACCAAACATCGTGTTGAAAATCGTGTGAAAAAAGGATTTGGAATATTTTTCATAGTGCCAATTTTTTGTGAAAATCAAGTTAAAAAGGTGAGTGTAATGCATTAAAATGTTGTATTTTGATTATATTTTGTGATTCTAGTTCGGATTGTTCGATTATGGGTTGTGGAAATTTTTTTGTGAGTAATGTTCAAAATGGCGTCTCGATCCGGTTATGAGACACCGTGCTGCCCAGTTATGAGACACTCTAGATTTTGCACTGAAAGCATATAGAAACGTCATATTTCGTCGTTTTTGTTGTCAAAACGCATTTATATGCAATTACAATTGTATTTTAACTAATATTCTCGGATTTTCAGCCATGTCTCCTCCAAAAAAGCTTCATTGCAACGGGCATTGCTCCATATAATCCGGACATCTTTACTGACCCTGACTTTGTCCAAGCCGTTGAACAAAATGACATAGAAGTGGCTATTGATGCTGATATCACCGAAGACATCCAGCGACGTATTGTTTTCAACGATGCCATTGATCCTGTTGGTCGTGAAGAAGAGGTGTTAACATCTGAGCCCTCTGAACTATCCAGCTCGGTGTCACTAATGTCTCTTGCAAGCAACACTTCGTCGGTTTTGGATGCGGTTGGCCCTCTACAAGGCAAAACTCCAAAACCAAAGTCGAATCGTGGACGAAAACCGATGGAAAGTGCTGAATTGACTTTTCCGGAAACCATGTCCGTTTTGAAGCATGTAAGGCCATTAAAGGCCCAATTTTCTATATTTAAGCCATTGAAGGCCTTTATAATAAATAAAGAATAATATTTGAACATTTTATGATGAGTTTCCTTCATATTTATTCACTTGTATTCAATTTTTCTGGGTGTCTCATAACTGGACCAAAATTTTTTTGGGGCCAAAAAAATAGCCCTCACAAAATTGGTCAAATTTTTTTTCGAGTAACTGGAATCAATAAACTTTCATCGGAAAAAATTTGCGTCTGGACATAAGCTACATGATAGAACTCTAACTTTCCATTTTTGAAAGCCACAGAATTTTTTTTAAATCTAAAACAAAACCCGTCTCATAACTAGACCATCTCCCTTACAATTGAAATCGCCCTACTCGAAGTCATTTCGAAAATTTCAGACTCTTTTGAAATGTGAACAGACGGTAAAGAAATAAAACCTTTTTAAGAACTAAACTCTTGGTTTGATTATTCGTTTCGATAGTCATTTAAGTTTTTTCTGGTCTTAGCTGTCACCCGATGACCTAATGATTTAAAAAAAACACAGTCAATTTAGGTTTATGATAAAGGTACGCTTTATTTCTCAATATTTCAAAATAAATATCATAATAATAAATACACGATATGGCTTTGATATTTTTATAATATTTTGGACCTAATTTTCATTCCTTGTGCAGGATTTTGGAACTATCTGTCTTTTGAACTGCTTCATGGTTTATCCTAAATGTTTTTTCATTGGAGTTACAATATTGCAAAAAATAGTTGGCAATACAATTTCATTTAAAATCACATCCATAAGTATTTAATTTCTATTGAAAAATGATAAATGGTGCAATTATGATAAAACAGTGAGTTTCTAGCTGTAGTTAGAGTTTTTCTTTAAAATTCAATGAGATTTCTTGTTTGTTTTTCTATCATAGACACTTGATTTGATTTGGAAAGCCTATCAATTTGGTATAAGGTCAGGCGATGCAACACTTACAACACGCATAAAATAAATCCATTTAATTTGATAATAAAATTTATAAAAGCCTCAACATTTATAGTTTTTTTTTTTTTTTAGAAAAAAGCACATCAAGATTCTTCTGAATAAACCTAAATAAAACACTAGTGGGCACAAACGCATTACTTGCGGCGCGATCACTCTTAAGCCATTTGCTCGTATTTGGTTTTGGTGATATTTTTAGCCATACTGCACGTTAATACAATTCCGATTATTGGAAATAGCGACACCAAAATTGCAGCCGCCAATATCAATGACATATTGCTGTCGATCAATTCGCTCACTTTATCATAGCATCCCTGTGAAAATCGAAAAAAAATTGAATCAAATCATTTGAATAACGAAAACAAATGCGAAAGGTCACGTATTTTCTAGCATCATTTGGTACCTCAGTGTAAATCTGAGTTTCATCTTGAGCATTACAGTTGGGTATTTTGCAACAAGACTTTGGAATGGGCATCTCTCGTGGCAATTTATTCCAGTCATCGTATCCATGATTTCCACAGCATTGTAACTTGTGAGAGAAGGAAAAAAAAACAAGTAGAAAAACATATTTTCTTCTTTACGTAGTAATCCATGTAAATATTGACATTTCCGTTTTTCGGAGCATCAACAAGGCCCAACGCTCATCGTAACAAACACATAAAATTCACATGAGAATAAATAATTAATTGAATAAATATTTACTGTACGCTGCATCCAATTGAAGTCAATGGTACGTTGTGGATCGTCGATGCTGTTGGTACGCATGGCATCTTCGAGCCCCTTATCGAAACCATCAGCCAAACGGTCTTTGTAGGCGTACATGGAAGCAGCAATGCATAGCTCAACGAATAAAATAAATGCCAAAAAGCCACCGTACTACAATTTTGAACATGAAACGTTATTGACATTTTTAATATAAAAGTTTGTATTGGACGTAAAATGTAACGTGTGTTTCCGTTTCGCCCACACACACACAGACACACACACATACACACATACACACACTTACCGTATACAGTAACGATGGATGACCTTTAACGGTGCAACAACAAGCCAACGAGCTGACAAGCAGAATAAATGCACCCGTGCCAACCAGAATGTATGGAGTCACATTGGAATATTCAACATTCAATTCCAAATATTTGTGTAGTTCAACTTGCATCCAAATGCCTGCACAAAAAATCGCCAAACCCGATGCCTGTGAAAACAAATTTCAATAACAATAAGTGTGAGGAGAAAAAAGAACTAATGTCGACACAATGTAATACAGTTGCGTTCAATGGGTTTGTATCAAACATACACATTGGAATGTGGATAGACGTCAGACGCGAAAAAATCGATATTGTTGAAAACAACGCTAATAAATGAGCAGGAATGTGATACAGTTGTTTCAAATGCGGCCCACTGCCACTTTTCCACGTCGCACGGATTATCTTTTATCAGCAATTCAATGCTATTACTGTTACTTTAATTGCATTTTAATGCGAACAGCAATTTTTTCTGTTTAAAATTACTCACCCAAAATGCCATATTAAAAATCATCAGCAATGATTTCAGACATGCCATCGCAGCAACAGTTTGCAACAATTTCCCCATCTTCTTCGTTTTTTATACAGCAATAAAACTGTTAACACTAACTAAATGCGTTTCACTCTCGCTATCTTTTGTTCGAAAAGGTCGAGTCGACGGTTAGTTTTTGAACTAAATCTTCAAAATACCATTAATTCGAAGAATTTTACGTTTGATCTTTTAATGGATTGATGAAACCTCAAATCCAAATTACTTTATGAATGAATTGTATCGAGAAGAAAAAATTCGTTTCCCAAAAACACTGCGTTGTATATGCGTCCGCATTCAACAACTTGCTTTTCACTTTTACCATTGAACATATTTTTTCCACCCTTCGTTCGGTCAAGTGGATTCAAACTTGAGTGGATTTTCTCGCCCGTTTCGTGTTTTCACTCAACCGTTTGAATGTGAAACGGATGCAAATGGAATTGGATTTTCTATTGGGTTTTTAGCAATTTTACATAAATGATCAAAATGCACTGTTTTTCAATTATTCAGTCAACTCGTAAAATTCACATGGAAAATGCTTCAGTTAACTTAAAAAAAATCACGATTTCAACTGTACAAAGTTAACTTACTGTCGAGAGTCTCGACTCGAGACTCATCATATATTTGAACTTTGAGTGAAAACTCAACTTTCACTCGTTATCGTAACGCTGCGTCACGCATTCATTTCCATCTAGCAAAAACTGTCCACGCAAGTGGGTTTTTGAGTGAAAAACACGTAAGTAAGTAATTAAAATGTTCTGAGAATGCCGACGAAATGTGAAAGGGCTTGGGGTGCTACTGCTGTAATAATCACAGAATGAATCACATAATGTTTTATTCAAAAGTGAATGAACCGCACATCATTATCAGGCGAAAGAACGAGAATTGAAGTTGTTGCTGTGTAAAAATAGCTTTTGCCCACTCACGAAAAGTCAATGTACCGATTCCCCCAAAAAAAAAATAAAGACGATTACCATTATATTCAAAATTTAATTATACTTCACGCTGAGCATTTGGATTGTGTTTGAGTTTGACCTAGGAAGTCATAAATCATGATTTTTCTGCCATTTGCATATTTCGTAATGGGCACGATATTTTATTCCGCCTGTTTACACTTCATGATCAAACGAAATTGTTTTTTGTTGCTTCATATTGATTGTGAATTATCTCGGAGTCTCGTGGAGGATGTTGTAAATTTTTCGTAAAATACGGATGCCGCTTCAATTTATTATGATTTTTAGTCCAAAATTACGACTTGTCTCATTCACATCGCTGAACAAAGGAACAATTTCGACTTATTTGTTCCTTTCTCGTTGGTATTTCAATATTGATTGACGAAATTTCAATGGCTGATCTGTTGCAAATTGGTCGAACGTTGATTTTCCATCGATGGGCTGGACTGAGCGGCGCCCTTGCAATTATTTTTACGGTTTTCGTGGAAAACTGTAAACTATCCAACTTTGATAAACATTTCGTTTGGCAAGTCAAATTAATTACGTACACGCATTGATTTTGATGGTAGTGCCGCTGACTCGACGACCTAATTTAGTGAGTACAGTTCAACAACGAGAGAGAAACATTTTGTGGAAAATATCGTCTTTTTTAAAACTTCTTTCAGACAGGTACGCTGTTCCTAATTGGTATGGGTGTGTACTGTCTTGGAAGCTACTTTTGTGCATTAATCAAATTCAATGGATACATTTACTTCAGCTCCGTTGGCAGTGTGATCCTGATGACAGCTTGGCTTTCGTTACTGTTTTGAATTCATCATTAAGTTTTGAAAATTTTCTCGTCGATTTTTGGTGATTTTTCATGTTTTTCTTTTATTTGTTAACGCAAGAATGCGAAGAAAAAAATTTTGAAATACAGAAGAAATGTGAAAATTTTCTAAGAAGGAAATGTAAAGAGAAAAATCTTTCCTGCTGCATCATTTTACCTTGTACTATACTTACTCATACCAAAACGCTGTAAATTTTCCCTAAAGAATGAAATAAATGTGTAATAGAAACGCATTAACTGTTAGTTCAAGTGCCATAAAAGGTATTGTTTATTGGTTGTTGAAATTAACGATGTTTCAGACAAAGTTAATTGCGATTTTGGCTGAATTTAGTCTATAATTTGATCGCAATCAATGTGAATATATATCAATCAATCGATACATAAGATTAAGTGTTAAATAACCTTTAGAATATTTGTTTGCATATATTCTTGTTTGTGGTATTTTTAGTTAATGTGTTGTTGTTGTTTTTGGATAAATATGCTTTTGTTAAATATCAAGATAGAAGTAATAGCGTTATGTGTTTTTTTAAATCTATGGTAATTGCTCTGTTTGTTCATAAACGAAAAGTGTGTTATTTTAGCCGAGATCGATATGAGCTATGAGAGGTATTGTGGAAAATGGAGCCAACAATCATATAAATAGCTCAGTAATTATCGATGTCTTAATTAATACGGTTCAAAATTCACCGTAATGTATACACTGTGCTGCCATAAAAATAACCCCATATCTATTTCAAACCTGCAACTGAAACGTTTTTCTTTTCTGTTGCCGTTGCTAAATGACACACTTTTCGTAAGTGAGACAAAGATTCAGATTTCAATTCAATTTCCATCTCTGGTTAGAAAACGTCTATAGAATGAATCACCACTGTTTGTGTGTTTGATTTTTCCTTTGTATTGAATAGCTGATTATAACACGCTATATTCAATTCAGTTCAAGTCTTTTGATTATTGTTTTAAGAATGAGAGTAAACAAGAGATTCAGGTTGGATCACGAACGAAATTGAAAGGAAAAAACAAAACCGAATATTGAAAGAAATGTCAGGAATTGCAACTGAAGTGAATGTAACAAGTCTCAAAGTAAATGTATGTGTTGTTCTGTGTGTGGTAGTTCTATCGTCTGCATAGGTATTGATTGTTCCATTTCACTGTTAGTCTACTTATTAGGTAATAATTACTGAGTAATTCAACGATATGATCGATTTGATTTGATATTTTTGGTGCACGGCGAAGATTTTCTGTTTTCTCCAACAACACGTGCACAGTGCAAGCGTTGTCTGCATTATTCATTCATGATTGACAAGTATTTTGGGCCTATGTTCCAATTCAATTCAACGGACTAGTTAAGAATGACTCTACGGAAATGAATTCGAAAAATAGTGTTGTCTTTTTTTTCACAGTTAAATATTCAGGTTCTGGCTAATTTTTCTTTGTTTTGTTTTGTTCATCGATAAATAAGGAGGAGTATGAGCGAAGTTCCTCTAAGAAATCTATAAATAAATGACTTGAGTACAATGTATAACTTCACAAGAGCTGATAAATAGTTTGGTTTTATGAACTGTTTGTGACCATTAGTGTCTAGGTTTTAAGGTTTTTTTATTTCAGGAGAAATATGACTTGTTTATGGATGAGAATGAAACGTAAAAAGTTGAAAATTGGTCTAAACTAAAACATTATTTACCGGAAATTCGATAGAGGAAAAAGAACGAATGGAATAGAAACATTGAAACTACTAAAGGAACCGTGTTACGATCACAAGCCAATTTCAATTGACATTTCAAATAACAAAATTGCCTTCCATTTTTTTTCTTCTCTTCTTCAATTTTTATGATTGATTCGTGTCAGTTCAATTTTTCCATCTTCAATTTTGCTTTCATCTCTCTTTTCATTTTTTTTTTCTTCTTTTTTTCCCCATTTTTTGCTCTTTTCTCGCTCTCATTTTCGATTTACTCGATAATTGTGGAACAAATCTTCAACGAGAGACGATAAGTAGCAATAACTTGATGTCGTAACACGGCCGAGGTTGAAGTGAATTAAGAGTACATAATAATAATTATAGATGTTCGAGAGAGATAGATTATCCGGTTGTTTATTAAAGAGTTGAGAGAGTATCAGTGAAATTGATAGCGTAGTAGTAGTAAGTTAAAAGGTATTGTTATTGGATACTATTTACAGTTTTCGACTCTGCTTGCGCAATAGCACGACACGCACACACACACGCCGATTTTTTGTGTCTATGGATCTGTGTGTCGCAGATCATGTCCATAAGATGAAGCGTAATAGCGCGCGATGTACTACTTCAATTGCACTTTTTGTGTGATGGTAACTTTTTTATATCTTTGACCCATCTAGAAAAAATTCCAATAAAAATTGCGTGCGCAACGCATAACAAGATTGATTTGTTTTGTTAGAACGAAAATAATAGCGATGAAAAAGCCTTTATTCGGAAGAAAAAGAAGAAGGAAAAATTAAACGCTAAATTGAAACTTAAAAGGAAACGCCATAATCAGGAACGGAATCGGCTCTATATTCAAGTGCTTAAAAATTTCAAGTGATATCGAAAATAAAATGCAATCCAATTTAACATCTTCATTTTTGTTTAGTTTGCTCTTTTTTCGGCTTGTAAACATATTATAACAACCAATGTTAAACCAATTTTTGCTAGGAAATGCGATCTGCCTTAACTGCAAACGGGACTTGTGTCTTTTTTTTTGTCTGTGTCTTTTAAGATTTTCCAATTTGACTAGCTAATCTATGTTGCGGCTGCATCTTTTGTGAAACCATATATTTGGGAGATTTCATTGAATGGTACTTTTTTGCTGGTTTCTTGCGTTCACTGTATGGATCCTTTTTTGCACCTCTGTCGAATAAAAATTGTGTGAAAAAAGAATGAAATAAAAAGAAAAACTTAAAAACTCAAATAAATTGAAAATCGACGAATTTCAAACGTAAAAATTCAAATGTAAAAAAAAATAGGTGAAAGAATGAAATTAAGTGTGGAAAAAATGATTAGTAAGCACAACACATTACAAAATGCATGGTTGAATATAGAGAAATGACGACAAAAGCATGATTATTATTTAATCGAAATGAATGTGTTTTTGTTTTGGGGCGAAAAAAGAATCCAAAAGATTTAGAATTTTGATGGTGATTGATGGGTCGTGTGAAATGTGTAGCTGCGGCAGACGTCATGAGAGGTGGTTTTGGTGGTGGTGGTGGTGGTTTTTTGATAGGAATGGAAACGAAAATAAAACTAAATTTTCATTTTCCACACTTACAAGTATCGTGTTAGATCTTCAATGTCCACAAGCATCGAATCTTGGCCCATGTGCAAGTCATCACGATCCATCAGATATTTCACCAATTGCTCGTTCAGACTCTCGATTTGTGTGTGAAAATCATTGACAATGATCTGCAATTGTGCCACATTCATATCGGTCAACATTTGACGTGAAACACGACGCTTTCCAGCCGGGAAATTATAACCGACTTTTTCAATCGTACTGCGGATCATATTTGTAATTGGTGACTCCATTTGCTTTTGACGTTCCATCTAAACGAAAAATTGAAACAGAAGATAAGTTAGAGAAGACAATCAAGTGGATCTGGTGGAATTTTCAAGGGAACGCTATTCACCTCCATCTGCATATGTGCAATATCTTTTGCTTGAGCTAATGCCATTCGCGCTTCGATTTGTAGACGCGCCTGCTTGGTGAAGAAATCGATCTCTTTTGGATCTTCATCGGTTTTCAATGCATCCAATGTTAAAGCTGATGATCGAACTAAAACGCAAAGAATTGAAAAAAACAACAACATTACAATGAGAACAATCCATCAAGAGAACGTCACAAAGAAGGTCTATTGAAAGAAATTCAATGGTTGTGTCCTTAGGAAGAATTCAATTTCGTTTCTTTGTACAAAGCTCTACCTTTTTCCTGTGAAGCGGTCTTTTTCATCGACAATGGTCGTGAATTATAAGGATTTGCCTGTGCGGTAATATTGCTGTGACGAACTGGAACTGGCGGTTGATTGGTATGATTGGTATGTGTTACAGGTTTTGATAGCTTTGGGCAAGATTCACTGTCTGAACTGAGGCTGTCACCGTCAGCTGCAGCTGCTGCATCATTAACAAAGCAAATTTGCAAATTTTTACCTGTTTAAATCGAAAAAAATTGGCATTAAAATTAGCCTGTATGCGGGTTTCAAATCATTCAATTCATTCACCTTCTTGCAACCGTGTCTGTAAGCTGGGTTTGCGTCCTGGTTTTGCTGTTGAGATTTTTGTTAGGTAATCATCTTCAGCGCCCATGGCCAATCGACGACGAATTTCCTCACGATCATTTCGTTTCTGTGCCGAAGAGAATATTCGTTAGAATAAAATGAAAACACTTCTCTTCGAAGTAAAATCAGAATATTAACACAATAAAACCGCAAATCACGGTTAAAAATAAAACTCCAATTGAAATGTCAAACTTCAACATTTGAATTGCAAATCGAAATGTCGAGCATATTGAATGAATTTTTCCGTTTGCGACGTAAATGAATATCGAATATGAATAAAACAAAGAACTCTGTGCATATATATATACATAAAACAGTTCAGTTCGTCTTGGTGAATTGGTATCGTTGACACTAATCACGCGCACAAATTTATCAATCACATTGTCGATGTCTTCGATGAATTTTTCCTTCGCTCTGAGCTCAATCGGATCCCAATCGACTTGCAAATCGGCGTAATCAAAAACCCTTGGTAACATGATGTCATTGTCTAGATCGGATGCGGGTTTCTTTTGGTATAATTGACTGAAATATGAGCGAACCACGTTCAACATTGTTCGATTGGTGGTGGTGGTGTTGTCGTCGTCGTCGACGTTGGTAAAATGAGAATCACGATTTGAACTGTGTTCAAGAAATGCGATGGCACTTTCGTTTGCATAATTTCCGTTGAATTTATCATCTCGGCTATTGTTAGCTTTAGATATCGGTAAAATCGTTCTAATATTCACGATAAAATTATCGAGCATTTTCTTATTATTGTTGTTGTCGAGAGAGATAGAGACGTTAACTTAAATATTTATAATATGGCACAAGCAAAAATGCTTAAGTAAACTTGAATGAATTGGTAATTGCGCGTCGTGTTTTGCTGAGATAAAATTACATATTAATTTCACTTAATTAAACACAATGTATTTGATGGTGTTATGGAATGCAAAAATAATGCTATGAATGCGTCACTGCTGTCCGTCCAAACACACGCACCGAGCATGTTCACACTGAACACTCTTTAAGGAACTAAACGACGACGAAGAACACCACCAGACTGCCAGCTGCTCGGTTATTTCGTCGAAGAGCCTTTAGTCAGCCGAACGACAGATGTGATTTTTCGGAATCGGTTTGTTTTCGTATACACTTCGTAGTATTTGGGTTCATGTGTGTCTGTGTATGTGAACTTGCATACGTTTCTCCATCACCTTCTGTATGAAGGCAGGAAGAATGAATCGCACCGAAATGAAACGAACGTCAACTACCTAACTCAATGACTATATGAATGTTCGTGTGTGTGTGTGTGTGTGCAATGGCAAAAAAAACGAATTACTTTTGAATGAAACAGAAAACCTTGTCGAAAAGGGCTCTGATTACGACTCATTCAGCTCATGTGTATCGAAATGATTTTCGTTCCTTTGCAATGCTTGCTATCTTCGTCTTTGCAAATGTTTTCTTTAGCAATTTCAAATACCAGAGCACTTGCGTGTGTCTGTGTGTGTTCTTTGTTTGTTGTTTACATTTAATATCAGCATTTTACGAAAATACTTGTAATTCAAACGGAGCCGATTCAGGCACTGAGGCCAATTACAAAATGTTGAAAATTTTCAATATCACCTCTAAATCCCTTGTACAAACAATGCTAAACCGTGCGTTGATTTGTTTTCGTTGAGCTCAAATTCGGCTCTGTGCTTCGAATAACAACAGAAGCAATGTTTTATTCATTGGCCGTGCTTGAGCAATGGATGTAATAATAGCCGATCAAAATTGCGAACAAAATCTTCGTACAAACTGAAAAGGAGGAAAAAGAGAGAGAGAGAGAGAGAGAGAGAAAAAAAATGCAAAACGAATTCGTTCCGCGCAGTTCATTCGTTTCATTATAGCTCAAGATCGTCAGCTGCTTGAAAAAGTCATGAGTCCCAACCGATTCGATATTTGCCGCTTTAATTTGTGCGCGATCATTTCACAACGGTCAAATAATTTTGCGCCGTTTTGGACAGAAATATTCAGTGAATTTGACCTCAAACAACATTTAAATTTAATGTAAAATGCGCTTTTTTGTGTGTCATTCCAACGAAACTGTTCAAGGTTTCACTTGACATCACGCAAAAATCTTTTCGGTTCAGCAAGATTCTTGACAGACTTGAGACACACTCACACAAAGTGGATTGTCATTGCAATGTCGTATTGTTGAGTCGAGCCAAAAAAGCAGCACAACCTGAATTGACGCAAGTACCTAGTTTCAGAATGATTTCAATTGAATTTGTTAAAACTTGTATGATCGCGCGCAGCATATAACATCGTCGTACTATGAACGAGATAAAATTGAACTTTCTAAAGTGCGTCACGCATTTCGACATTCACTCAGTACAATTCCGGAAATTAGCCGACACGCAAAAAATACATACACACCTGACTTAACTATTGTTTCGTGAGCGTCAATTGAAAGAGAGAAAAAACTCCAATTGAATCGTGTGTACGCGAAATCACTATAATTTACACTTACTTGATTGGCAAATGTACTGAACAGCCGAACACTGTCCAAACTTTCATGATCGTCATAGGTCAATGTGTATAAATCGTTAACGAAACGCGAATCTTTCTTGTAATGGCGCTTATCAAACGGTAGCGAACTCAGTGATGTGGGTTCGTGGTTTATCGGCGCGCCAATCGCAAAATTTGCACCACTTTTCTCGTAATAAAATGCAGCGCACATTTTTTCACGTGGATCATCCACTGTCGCACCTCAACCGAAAATTATTTCTATCACCTTTTGCACATTGAATCAATTTTGCAATGATCGAAATTTTCTGAGTATTGATCACTTTTTTTGCAATTTTTTTTCGCGTTTTGATACCACAAACACACTTTTTACAATCTCTTCCGAGAATTTCGACTTTTTCCACTGCAAACTGGATTATTGCCACATCACAATACTATCAAATATAGCTTGAAACATACACAGAAATACTGCTGTTGGTTACAAAACTCGCGAAACTTTCCAAATGGAATTTCAATTCAATTTGCGTGGCTCATGCTCGGCAGCAGCGTAGCGATTGAAGCACCAATCAAACAATGACTGACATCGCGAGTCTATAATCGTGGCCGTTGTGGCTCACAGCAGCAGCAGAAGCAGTAGTACTTTTGTTAGTAGAAGCAGCAGAGAGTGCTTCGGTTCTTCGAAGCGTTTCAAACATCATACGATCATGAGTTACGGTGGCTGTTGTTGTATGCTTTACTAGTCGTTCATATTTCTTTGTTTGTTGATGGTTGATTCGAATGCGATGGCCCAAGAATGGGTTTACAGAGCACATAAATACAACACAAAAACAACATCAACATCAACAACCAAACCGAATCATTGCTGTGTACTTCTGTGTATGTTGGTTATGAAGGTTATTTAATTGAGAAAGTTGGAATTTGTTTACGGTGGTATTGAGATCGGTCGAATGTCGATGTGGTTGTTGTTATTTTTTTTCGGCCAAACACACAATAACAATTCGCGATGATATTTACCATAATGTGTCTTTTGTTCATTCTTTTTGGTCATAATTTTTTTTTGTCTTTGGGTTTATTACACGGTGACCGCAGTGATTGTTACGTCTGAATTAACGGGAAAGAGTTGTAAGTCGCGACTCTAGGTTTGAGCATTGATGTTCGTTCGAAAAACACAAACACATACGTTTTTATTGCACGTGTTGAGTGCGGAGCAATCAATGAAAATAAGGCAAGAACCCCAAGCATTTCGATTGTGTGCAAGAATTTTCAATTGCATGTCGTTTAATCAACGACGCCTACTTCAATTTCTTGAAATATCACACGTTTCCTCGTTTCATCTATTGCCGATCCGATCGCTATTGAATTTCTATTTCCAATCTCTCTCCCTCTCTCTCTCTCTCTCTCTCTCTCTCTCTCTCTCTCTCGCGGTTATTTAGGTTAAATTCTGATTTAAATTGCCATATTTTCTTTCACGGTTCTTCTAAATGCGATTAGAAAAGTCATTAGTAAGGCTCTTTGGCCATTGGCACTGTGAAACCGCTGTGAAAAACGCACAAAAACAATCTCGAATCTTACTACGTATAACGAGCCGACACACGCTTTACACAGAGAGTACCAAGAGAGCGAGAAAAACAAATCGTGATAAATCCCACCGCTTAAAATGGAATTGAAATAGAATTTCAGCACCGGTCAATAACACATTTTTTTTCGTTTCGTTTCGCATTAAACGTAAATATTAACCATAAAAGTGTTTGTTGTTGTGCCTCGCATCTAATCTAGATAAATGGTGCTCTTTGTATTGCGATGCATGATTACTCAAGCAGAAAATTTATCACAGTAAACTGGATTCGATGAATCCAGACTCACACACAGACAGCGAGCACACAGCAACGAGCTCGATGTTCAATTACAATCAGTGCATTTATCGCGTAATTCGATGCAAATATTTATCAACGCCATGCGTTCATTGCTCAAATAAAGCAACACAATACACCACGCAATTCACACCATACACACGCGTGCAGTGACTGACACACACACACACACACACGCTTCGTTATAATGACATTTGCAATAGATGAGCTGTTCTTAAATCGCGGAAAAATCCATTCGTTTCCAACATAAAAGAAAACATTTTTTTCTCTACTCACGCGTCGTTCGTCCTCCTTAACCAATTTCATATGATTTTTAATGGTTTCCATATCGATAACCGGAAGCGCTGTCTCGATATTGTACACATCAAAGCAACCTATTGAAATAGACAGTCACAACACACACTCACATTACAATCATGATTATGATTTTGTATCAGATTTTCGATTCCATACCTGAATTCTCTTTCTGATCTGTTTTCGCGTGATTGCGCTCCGAATTCGTGCAGCTGTCGTCATTGTTGTTATTGTTATTGTTCAAATATTTCACATTACCGTTGGTCTGATTGACGTCTGATGTACTTTTTGCCATTGTCGTGCTGCCGCCGCCGCCGCCGTTGTTGTTATTGTTGTTTGGTTTGCCCTGGTCGCGGTACAATAGTGCATTTTTCTTTATCTGCATTTGCACAATGGTTTCCATCAGTTTGCGTTCATCCATTCGCTCTTTCTTACGTGGCTGAACCACAGCAACACTTGCACCCGATTTCTTCGATTTCTGGACGACACTGCAATTCGTGTCCGCACATTCAACCGATTCTTTACCGTCTGATGAGCGTTTCGTATTGTCTGTTGCACCAGTCTGATTATTGTGCGCTGTTGTACAGTTGTCTACAACATTGTGGGCGGATTTCACACTGCTCATCGTCGTCGTCGATTTCATATGCTTTTTCGCTTTGCGATCAAACTCGGGCAAATGGATTTTCTTTGGGTGTGGTGGAGCTGTCACTACTGGAGCAGAACATTTCGTCGGAGACGAGTCATTTGTGTTGGTCTGTTTGTCATACCAAGCCGTTGTGTCGTCATTCATGTATGCAACGGTGGGCAATTGACGATCATCAAACGATGATCGCTGATACTTTGGCCTAACAATTGCCGTTGGAATTTGATTCTTTATCATCGAGTCTTGTTCAGTTGATTGCTCATGATCGGCTTTCGCAATTGTGTCATTTGCACTGGATAAACTAGCATCGGTTATCTGAATATGGGGGCGTAAAAATCGGTATTAAATCGAATTCAGTTTTATTCTCGAAATTTGAAAGATTAAAATTAAACCGGAATAAAAATTTGATTCAAATGGAAAAAGATGAAAAAGAATTCTAACCAAAGAAAATGAATCGCTTGTCGACTTTAATCCGTTAAGTCATACCTTGTCCGTGAATTTATCATTCGCCTCAATATTGCCGCAAACTGGAGAATCAACCTCATCGCAATCATTTGAAAAGCTGTTGCTTCTGTAGCCCGTCACCAAAAGGCCAAGCTCACGTTCAACTTCCTGTTCAAAATTGCCAACAATATCGACTGGAGTGATGCTCCAAGCACTTCCAGGTTCATCTTTTTCTACGCTTGATGGTGACAAGTCTTCAGTGACATCAAGCAAAATATCGGGCTTATCAACACTCTGCTCGAAACCTCGTTCGCATGAATTGGACTTTTTCACCACATCCGGTTCATTCACGGGTGATTCAATTTTCTTTGCAAATACTCCCATATTTTCAATATTAATTCCACCGTCGTCATAATGTTCCAAGTAGGTTTTCAAATCGTATGCATTTACATCAGTAACACCGTCAATTGAATGAATATCGGTTTGTTCATAATCGATAAGCTCCTTTTCGGACAGCATTTCGATGGCTGTAGACAAATGAGTTGAATTGGATTCGAAAACGGTACGTAAAATCTCTTCAACCGTCGTCAAATTGTCACATTTAGTCGTTACTCTCTCCTCAGCAATAATATTATTTCCATTCGAATCGTCGCATGCAAAAGTGTTATTATTTTCCGTGCTATGGCCTTCACTTGGGAAATCGCTGTCAACTTCGGAAAAGTCACTGTCTGACATACTTCCGACCTGGTTGCCGTGATGATCGACAAAATGTTCAGAGAGTGTGTGGGCTAAGTGTTGGAAACCGGGATAATTTGGATTAATGATACCACGTGGGTATGGTGATTTTTCTGCACTCAACGACGCTGAGATTGATAACGATGAAAATTCTTCTGCAAATGAGAAAAGACGAAAAAAAAATTAATTGAAAAATAAATGTCGATTGAATATCGATTGCAATTGCAATTTCTTACCTTCTTCATCCATCAATTGCTCCTGCGTATTGGGAGCGTTGTCTTTGTAGGATTCACATTCAAAATTCTGTCTGCATAAATTGCTGCGACTAATCAATCGATTAATTTCCGCTTCAATATCGGATGACGAGCCATCAATCAAGTCGACGGTGTCTTTTGAACACGGTCCAATGGAATTCACAATATTCCCATTGCCGTTGGCATTATCGTCGTCGTCATCTTCGTCGTCAACCGTATCGAGATGTTCACGTGATTTTAATTTTTTGTGCGATCCATAGAAACAATATGTTTCGTTCAATGCCAATAATGCTTTGCTGAACTCCGTTTCCAATTGCCAATTTTGTGATGCGCTCAATGCATCACATCCGGCCGATGACGACGACGAGTCGCTGATTTCAAAATAGGTACTGCTTGTGGTTGCCGTTTTTGGAGATGTCACTGTCACACTGTCGATATTTGATTGGTGATTTCCGTTCGATGTGAATGTTTTCACCGTATTTCCACTGAAATTTCCATTTGAATGGCAGTCGCGATCGATAATATCGTTGGCGTGACTATAATTGTTGTGGTTGTTGTTGTTATTATTACTGTTCAAGTAACTCAACGGCTCGTATAAACGCATATTGCTGTTTGCTGTAGAGAGAGAAAGAGGGAGAAAAAGCAATTGAGTTATGGAAAATTATTATTCGCATTAGAATCAATAAAAATGCATTCATTCTCGGTTGATGGCGCTGTGCAGTGTGCATACGCTTTATGTTTATTGCAGCGATGAAGGCAACAATCGCGGTACACGACGGCTAAATGAAATGAAAAATTGCTTGTAAACCTCAAATTACAAGGAAAACAATCCATTTCAACCATGTTTCGCTTTTTTTTTCCACAAACACAATTTTATGGCCGTGTCGAAACGTACAACAGCGACAGCGTCAAAAGTAATAAAAATGAAAATGAAAATTGTGCGCGATATGGGTCACGCAATGGTTACAATGGTCTTTTTATATACTCAATTAAATCGTCGCCAGTTAAAGGGTTCAATAGAAAATTTTGGTTCATGTTGAGCCAGCTAAGATGAATGCTGTAAAAAAATACGGTGAAATTTATGGAGCAAAATCTTTGTATCGTCACTTCAATTTATGTTTTGTGTTAAATGTAGCCCGTTTTTTACACTGCAACCATTGGACATTTACAGGAAGCATCAATTTTTCCGCAACTGTACCACCGCAACCCCGGTTATTCAATTAAGAGTCGAGAAATATTGAAGGAAAATGTCGAAAACGAGTCAGAATATATGAAAGCACTTGATCAAAAATTCAAAGCACTAGGAAATAACCATCGTCTGTAAACTCGAACGCAAATACAAACTGAACCCTGGCTTCCTGCTTATGTAAGTGGTGGAGAGAGAGAGTCAATGAAAAATGCAACGCTTTAGTATTGAGATAAAGATTTGTATAGCTTACAACGACGACGACGACGACATGGAAAACTTTGAATGGGGGAGAATGAACGAAGAAAAAATAAGAACTATTTTCCGCCGTCGGTGGTTTGGTGTTAGCTGACTGGTGGTGCTTGCGTTTATAGGTTCTCTATGTTTTTTTTTTCGTTTTCCTCTCGGATTTTGTATGCGGTTTTACTGCATATTATATAACGATTATTGATTTTTAAGACGTTTCGACATTTCGCACACTCAATTTATTTTCGTTCGCAAAACTTTAATTAAAGTTTGACATGAAAAAGACATTCAAGAATATTCCACCATCAACAATAATGTCGACTGTGTTTTTTTTTCGTCTCGTTTCGCGTCTTGAATTCTTGTCATTCAGCGCAAGGCGTGGAGAGCGTTCGCTGCTTCATTTGTGTTTGACTATAAAAATCCTTGATGCAAAATACCTCAACATGATTTCATTGATTGGAATGTCTCTCTCTTGCTACCAAAGCTATTGTTCTACTAAATTCTCACTTGCTTTTGTTTTACACACACACTAAATCAATTAATTGTTTGGAAACTGTTCAGCTGCTGCTGCTGTTGTTATCAAAATTGCTTTGATCCCAAAGGATTTCAATCACTTCAAGTGTCCGCTTTGAAGCCAAAACTTTATTTATTTACAAACATTACACACACTCGATTCGTATATTGACTGAAAGCAAGCACCGAAATTACAGTGCCGAAGAGCACATAGCCGTAGGGTGGCCGATTCGCAACTGGAGGGCAATTTTTTCGTTTCAGGTTGGTAGCACAGCAAATAAATCGACGTAACGTAATCTGGAATAAACATCGCTATCGATACACGACGAAAATATAGACATTGAGTGTGGCGCGTACTGCGCAAGCTCCCCACAAATGGTACATGAGATGGCAATAGGTGAGACAGCCGCTAGATGCATTTTTTTTGCGCGAAAATGGGGTAGCAATAGAACGTAATGGAAAATGTGAAACAAATGGATTTTTTCGTACGTGAATACCGTTGGCAATGGTGGAGTGTCAGGCGAGAGAAGCACATACACAGCGACAACTCAAAATGTTCTATTCCGTTTGGATCGGCTCCATTCCGTGTGCTATGCAATTCGTTCATCGAATTTACGATTATGAGTGTTGTGTATACAAACTACAGTTTAAATTTACGTGCGACCGTATAAATGAACGTGTAGCACAAACATCAATGATTAGCGAGTGTAATTTGAATGAAGACTTGTATTTCGGTTATGGGCATCAAACGCACAACCACACACACATACAAACACCATAAATATGCACGACAACTCCAAGTTGTGTGGGGTGCTTGCGCTAGTGTGAGTGACAGTGTGTGGGAACGTATTCGGATCTGACAAACACCAGCAATTATTTGAGATTGGGGCTGCTGCTGCTGTTTTTTCCATTCTGTAATAGAGAGCTAGAGATATTTTCCCTTTTTTTGATTTTTATGGACTTTTGTTTTGTATTTCGCATTTAGATAGGGCTTTTCATGTGCGTCATTCGTTGGTTCGCACTCCTTCTCTATACACAGCGAACACATTATGAATGGTAAACTTCATTTGGTATGTGTTTTGTGTGCACAAAAATGTTAGACATGAAAATCCGTCTGATCACGATTTGTCAACTGTGGCGCTCGTCATTTCGGCCGTTTCTCTCTCTTTTTTTGCTGTTATTTTTGTTGCTGGAAAATTATTGAGTATGCAAAGAAATTTTTCTAGTAAAAGAAATTTGTAATAAACCACGTCATAATACACAAAGCATTCCGTTTTTGATGTTGAGCAAAACAAAAGGCATTATGCAAATAGAATCGACTGAATGCTTGGCACTTGAAATTTTTGTTTTTAATATAAATATCATTCAGAAAAAGATAGAGAGGCCATAATTAATTTTACCGTCATAATGAGATGATTTCGTTAAAAGTCACAAGCAAATGCACAGCAGTGTGCTCGACCTTTTTTAATTGATCAAATTAGAGTCGGTGGCATTAAAAAGGCTATGCGTAGGGAGCGTAGCAAAACGACATTCAACATGAAATGTATGTTGGCATGCAGGAGACAATGACGGCGGTAGCAAGTAAATCGAAATTTATGAGCCAACCGTTAAATTGACAGTTTATTGCAACGGTGACTATAGCACAGCCAGCCGAACAAATTTATGGCAATTTCGTTGAATTACATTTTTACTCTCTGTTTACGACGGACGATTGGCAAACAGAAAAACGGAATGCGAAATTGAAAGAGAGCAACTCAATGAAATTGTTTTTTTTTGCTACCGATTTTCATAGCTCTCTGTCACTCTCATATGTATCGAATGTGAATATTAAAAAAAAAGTTTCAAGAAAAGTGACACAAGGCTCCCGTTTCCTTTTTCATTCAGATGTAGTACACGAGTGCGATTAATCAATACAAGTTGAATCAGTTAGTGTGGAGCACATTGAACAATCATTTCTAGAAAACAGCCGACGTTTTGGTCAAATGCCGTAAATTATTTTCTCTCCGTTTTCTGTCCTCGTTTCACGCGAAGCACACACACACATTCGAGAGAAAAGGATGTATGAATACAAAAGAGGTAGAGATAGTCTATATAAATATAATACGAACCTTTTGTGAAGCTTTTTTTTTATGAAATCCACCGAAAAAATCTATTCAAATACTCGACATATACGAAACACGCACCAAAACTTTATTTTTCTCTTTTCTACTTTTGATAGAAATGACAGCGCATTCATTTGCCTCAATATCAAAACATTCGTTCTGATGGCACACTCAAAATCTGCAACTTTTTCACTTCACTTGTAATTTTGCTTTGAATGAATTTTATTTGAAATTCAATTTACAAAGCAATGATGGTGGTGATGATTATACAGAAATACAAATAAAAAATCTACAACAAAAATTCACTCAATCGCCGTGGAATCACACAAAAATGTCCATGTCCATTCAACGATGAATGTAGAACATATCAAACGAACTGAATATTGTTGCGTGGGCAGAAAGCATGTAGCTTATGCATCGCCAGCAGACAACTCACTGAGACAGAGAGAACCACACAGAATGGAACACAACATGAATTTACATTGAAATTTAATCAACGCGTTTATCCTTTTTAAGTAGAAGGAAAAGGTCTGTTTTCCATATTGGCGACATTTTTCACTTGAACAGAGTCAACGAGCGTAGCATTTTTGTTGTTGTCGTCCTTTTCCACACAATGTTTCATCCTATTCGTGCGAATGGGCAGCAAGTACGAATTCAACCGACTGTTTGTCTCTGTTCAACCGTGTATTCCCCTCGACTTCGACTTCGAAACAGTATACGATCGATGTGCGCAAGCTGTTACCGAATCGGCACTTTTCCACGGCATGTGTGTGTGTGCTGGCATTTCATACACACACCATTTTATACATTTTCCATATCGTGTACACAAATAACGCAATATTTGTCGTCGCATTCAGAGAAAGTGGATGCGAATTATTGCGTACATACGAAATCATATCAATTCATTTAAATTAACATTGTAATGTTGATTGCGGTATCGTGTCGACATTTGCAACGTTTGCGTTGTTAGCCAAACCGAAGATGCAACAACTGAAATTAATAAACCCAGTTATTTGTCATTATTATTTCATTTTCAAGTATTTTCCACACGATGCCAAACCGCTGAGCAAAATGATTTTAATTGGATTTCATTCGGGTATTTCAAGGCATGTCACGTACTCTCACATTTTCAGTTAAGCTAAATCAAAAATTCGTCCAGCAAATGCAGCCATCTACGAAATTTATTCAATTAAAATTGCATTACAGTGTCTCGGTTTCGCTTGAAGCATTTTCAAATCCACCAACATCAACATCCACTTGAGCTTCGAGTGAGAAGATACAGTTTACAGCGTCCATATAAGTTTTAATGCAATCACTTTACTGGCTACTTGTAAATATTACTTTTTTTTTCATGGCAACATTTTTCTCCCTTTGTATCTCTCTACAGGAGAGATTCACTCCCACTATGTACTTTTTCATTTTTTGCTATTTTCACTGGCATTACAGTTCCGTTTTTCCTCTCTCTCTCTATCTCTCTGCGGACGATTTAAGCTATGGCCATAAATTTACTAGCAAAAGCCTATACGGTACTTTAAACCAATTCAATTACAGTTGAACGTTGTTAGCGCCACCATTAAATCTCTATGCATGTTGATTCTCTTTCGCCGCAATACCGGAAGCAGTGATGCACACAGGGCGATTCATTACATCGAGAGCTTAGCAACACTACCAATTTTGCCACTTGCACGGATAACTTGAAACATAAATGCACCTCTTGGTGCAAGTTTGTTCTTTTTTCTTTTCTCACCAAAATCGATAAGTCACAATTTAATCTGGCGTTGAGATCAACGTATTGGCAGAAAATATGACCTCTTTGCACGGAAAAATTGCGGCTCTTATTTATTGAAACATAGAAACAAAAAGGCTCTTTGTATTAGGCGGTAAGTATGGGGTATACAAGAAAGAGTTATTTCGATTCACAATGTACAATGTCTTGAAAGTCGGTAGTCAGGCCATTTTGATATCATTCATTTTATTGAAAACACCCCAAAAATGAAACATTTGAATAAAAAAGTCAATCAAACCGTGCTCGTTCTCTCCACTCTCATCAAATATTCACAAAGCTAGTTTGTTTTGCTCCATATCAAATTGGAGGCGGTGCAGGAACCTACAATATTTTATCTATGTTTTATTAAAGCATGCGGAGCCGCTAGTATTGAGTGTATGGTGTATTTTCAATTCAATATCGTCGCATTGCGATGAATGGTTTTATGTTTCTTGCTGGCCAATCGATCGAAAAACACCCGAATGGTGAAAAAGTAAATCAACTCAAATCCAGATACGAAGCTAAAGCCAAGCAGCAACCCCAAAATTCCACCGAATGAAGCTGAAAGTGAAACACGTTTGACTTTAATTTAGGCCGGTTACATTTCGGCGAAATGATTTTTGTAATGCATACCCAATAGACTGAACCAGTTCTGATATACATCTTTTCTGTAGCGCGTTGCAACTAGATCACCAAAAAAAACGGTTAATGAGGTATGATCGGTGATGTTAATGCCCTTACTGGAATGAAGAAAAACGTGTGTTTTTTTTCTTACAAAAAAAAATGTGAACAAAGACGAGGGAGAATAGAGATGAACGTAAATCGGAAATAAATTACACAAAACTTACTACACGCTCATCCGTGAATGGGAAAAGGTGCGGTTGAGCGTTGCCGAAGTGAGTTCAGTTGGATATTGATTGAGTTGACAGTCGGGAAGACAATTGCATGGTGTATGTAGAATATTTGGTTCGGCCGTTCCGACTTTCGTTTTATTGAGACCAGGCAATGCTCCAAAATAGGCCGGCCGATTCTCTCGTACACACATCATTTCGTTCATATCGCACACGCGATAGGAACCGTTGTTGGGCAAAAAATACGGAACACATCCGCAAAATCGATAAGCAATTTCCGTTCGACATTCCGCCAAACAGTTCACATACGAATAGCGTTGCATGTAATTCAGCTTGTGTTCGTCGTGGAAATAGCAATATCTCACCTCAGGTGATAGGTTTCGTACATTAGGCGTGCTATACGCAGTCTCTGGATAAACCATGATAAATGCTAACATTTTGTTGCTTATCGCTTTCGTTTCGGCATTGTCATCGGGAAAATCATAAGCGTCATGGATTAGAACCTAATCAAATTTAGCGAAATTCAATAAAATGACCATAGATTAAATAAATATAACAATATCCTGATGAAAATTACTCGAATGCCGTAGCTACTGAATAAACTGCTGTGATAGTCATCAGTGTTTGGTGTCAAAATTACGGTTAAGCCAGTTTGGAAACCGCATGATGAAATTCGTCGAGGCTGTTTCGGCCTTGATAAAGCAGTTTTCCTACACACGAACGAACGAAAGAAAATGTTTCTATTTTGGTTTCGGCTCAATAAGCTCCATTTAATTAAGATTGGTGACTTACGGCGGAAAATTGTTTGTCTTCAAACCATAATAGTTATATGAACAGCAAATGCCCTCAATCGTCTGAACTGGCTGGAAAATAGCATTGCATCGCGCTTCAGTGCCTTTCCAACGGCATTTTATAAGCATTTCATCACACGTTGGCTTCAATGTACTGCTCAAGTTCATGATACTCATTTGATTGGTTTGCAAAATGTTATGCAACAAATCGTAGTCATCTTTGATAGCATCTCCAACACCCTGAAAGTGTAACAGCAATTGAAACAGTTTGGAGAGTCTCTCCGGCGATACGTTGCTCGGTCGTGTCATATTTTGCGCTAGTCTCAATGCTTTTCTCGCTGATATGCTGTTCATGTTGCAAATGGTGACAGCCGGGAACGGCACATTTGAAATGGGATAATGGGTGCTTTCAATAACCGTGATTGTTGGCGTCTCTAAATTCAATTGCCATGAAATGTACAACAGCACCGCTGCCACTATAGTTGCTATTAAAACAATTATAATCCAGGCAATCCTGTCGAATATTAATGTGATTAAAAACTCATTTCAGTGAGGTGGATAGAGAAGAAGAGAGGGAGAGAAATTCGACCAATTTACCGTTCCCCTTTCGTTGATTCCTCCCGAACGATGTGATTGTATCCGTGCAATGCTGTGTTTTCCGCAAATTCCTTAAAGCATCGTACAAACCAGGATTTGTCGCCGGTTGTTTTGGAATGCTTTGATAATCTTGGTAATTTCAATGATGGCTTCACATGAAATCTCCTTACTTTTATTGTGCTGTTATGAACTCGATCCGAAATAGTTGAGATTGGTAACACTTTGACCATTTTCAAATGGTCACTTTGATTCTTTGAGTTTTGATTGAAATTTTCTTCATCAAGAATTGGACAAAAATCGCCGTCCAACTTGAAGGAGTGTCAATGAGCTTCTGGAGAGCCTGTGCTATGACTCAAATGGTTCAATTCAAACTTCCATTAACTGTAGTTTCCCATGTTAACGACAGGGCATGTTAAACGAATGATAAAATCGAGTAATTAGCATTATAATAATTGGTTCACAACATGTAAATTTCCTTCAATCCATTGGTGACACGATTATTGTGGAGTCTCTACTGTGGAGCTCAATCATTACTTGAACTTTATTGATCATAAAATCGACGATGATATTTAGAAGCAAAAGTTGTAAAACAAGAGGATGATACAACTGAATAAGAAATGTCATTGTGAAATTTATTCAAAGCACAGCATATTTATTTGGCCATGAAAAAGACTGAAACACATTCAATTTCCCTTTTACTTTAAATAAAACTTGCTGAGAAAAAATGAGAGTATACCCTTAGCCATCTCAAATAAAACTATTCAGTTTGCGCATAACTGCTTCAAATTGATGCCTAGTATTTGCTTCACATTGTCTAATGCATTGAATAATATGATTTCCTATCGATATAGCCACTAACATTACCAACTAACAACCATACAGTCGACCATTCATGGAAAAAACGCGACAAGTGATTGATCAAAATAAGGCGAAAAAAGTCACATACAAGGTGGTTGGTTTTCGATATAAAACTAATATTAATTCGATAATCTGAAATTTTGCCGATTTTCTACGGAAATTGCCTCACAAGTTAAAATTAAGTGGATTTCATTTCGGTCGAAAAACAGTTATATTTCGTCGGAAGTCCAAGGAAAAATGCTTGAATTCTTTTTTTCACTTTTGGGTTAATTTTTCACGCAGAAATCATATAATTTAATGATATTAAACTTATTTAATCTTTAAAAATCTGAACGCTCTACTATGCATACAAGTTAACCGATTGTGTCACACGGTTTTTATATAGGCATTTTAATTGGACCGCTCAGTTGAGAAGTAAAATCTTATTTTGTTATAAAATCAAACAAAACCAGTATGTATTATCTTTAAATGCAGTTTTTATTTATACTCATGACATGATCTGTGTTTCATTCACTTTGGTTCCTCGTTCATTCATGAAAATACATATAAACACTTATGATCGATCTAAAAATCTATCTATCTTATGATATCATTGTTAATGCAACTCAAAAAATGTTCAGAGCAAAACGAAATGAAACAAAATAATAGCGCGAAAATCAGACATTTTGTTGGAACAAAAGAAATTTAGAAGAAATGGAGATGGGTTTCGCGGTCTAACTCTTCAATAAATTCTAATATATTTATTATTTTTCTATTAATTTTGTGGTGTTTCCAATGCATCAAGAGATTTTCCTTTAGTTTCCTTCAGAAAAGGCACAAAAATCAAACCAACACAACAACTGACAGCAAGGAGAAGCAGAAATCCGTGTAAATAAATGATCTCCAACAAAATGGGAAACGATTTTGCAACTGCAAATATAAATATGTTATTCGTCATTGAGGAGAACACCATGCCTGCTGGACGAATCTATAACAGAAATGAATCAGTGTATATTGAGGCTTTAGGTTTTGATTGGAACAAATGGAATCCACTTTTCACAAATTCTTACCTTTGTTGGAAAGTTTTCTACAACACAGGTGTTCCCCAAAGACAAAATTCCACCAGATGAAATGAACATAACAAAAGATAAACACACAATCGGAAGCCACATGTAGTTAGATAGCTGATAACCAAGGTGATGCAGATATAAATACGATGATAGAACGAATAATCCAAATGCCGAACCGAGTAATGATGTGAACAAAATGGTTTTCCTTCCAAAAGCATCACCAATTTGAGTTGACGTGAGTCCACCGATGATTTGAAAAATTGCCAAAATGATGGCTGACGCATCAACGCTCAATGATGAGCCGGATATTGCGAAAATTAGCGATGCATAATTCGTGAAAACGAGACATCCCGTTGTTTGTGTGAACCACCATACTGCAATACAAGTTAGAATTCCTTTGACGGCTATCCAGTTACAGAAATCGTTCAATTGCAGCTTTGGACTATTTTTTTGCTCTTCCTCCACCAGTTTTATCCGTTCAAATTCAGCTTTCAATAGAGATTTCTCTCCATCAGACTTACCCGTACATCTTTTGTAGTACATCAAGGATTTTTCAGCTTTCTACATTTGAAAGTCTATTTTCTAGTTGTATATTTTTAAGTATAATCAAAACTTGCCTCAAAATCGCCCAATTTTAGATAGTATTGTGGGGTGTCTGGTAAGAAATATACCATGATCAAGTAAGATATAGGAAGCAAGATGAAAATATATGGCCTGTGTTCGTATTTGATCAAAGCTCCTCCAGTGTAGGCAATCAACACGCCTACATTTCTAGCCAAATAAACCAGAGAGCCAAGACGACCACGAATATTGAAAATATAATATTTTTTTCGAAAAACGAAACAATTTTAAGTTTTACCTTTGAAAAACTGATAATAGAATTTACTTGTTATTCGATATCTCAGAAATAAACAGCACTATGCCTGATTGAAATCCACCACCCGCAACTCCGGTAATCAGGCGTGCCAGTAGAATATGGTAAAAATGATTTCCAAAATGAATAAAGATCCAGAACAAAATTATTGGAAGTGCTAGAAATGTCATCGCTTTTTTGGAACCAAACAATGTAGACAGTAGTCCAGTTATGAATGATCCGCATATCGATCCAATATTGGCAACAGAACCAACCCATGATAGCTCATCATAAGTCAATGGACCGGTTACAAGTGGAGTATTGTTTGATAAAAGTACAGGCAAAGCAGGTGATAGCCATCCGATATTGCACCCATGGGAGAGAATAATGTAACACGCTGAAAGCAAATTTGAATAAAAGCAGAGTTCATTGATGAATCGTGTAATTAAATTTTTCAAAACACTTTACCTATTAATGCAGCAAAAATTTGATTTCTTACATTAGATAGACTAGGTCCAATCTCTAAATCCAGCACCATAATTAGTATAACCCACTTGAAAACGCCGACGCTAAATAACTTGATGATGCTTATTTTGCTTGTTTCAACTCACTCTGCAAAGAGATAGCGATATGAAAAGATTATAATCTAAAAATTTCAATTGAAATCTCGTTTTTATCTGGTGAAATAAACAAAAACAAAAGTCTTGTTTACATGATGAAGATGAAATGTCATTAAATTCAATATTTGTTCAAATTCACGTCAAATTCTTTTGATTTTTTTTTCATGAACAACCAGCTTACCATATGGAAAGGTCAATCTTTATCGGGTTAAACACTATACACACGCATTTCGACCGACTACAATGGAATATTTTATTCCTACATGGGATAAACTTAGGACATTCCGTATTGAAGAAACCGTGATGCGTTCACTCTAGTTCAGAGCGCTTGTTAAATTTACTAACACATGCGCAAGCATGTGATTGACTTAATATCAGATTAAAACCATATTCATTTATTCCAGTGTGCAATGGAATAATGTAAATGTAATTACTTCAAGACTGAGTCATTCGCAAGCTTGCACATCTGTACGTAAATTTAACGACCGCTATGGAATGGAGTGAATGCATACACACACGATTTCTCTGATACGGGGTGTACAACGTATTGGAATGTGTCGAACGAATGATGAGCGTTAAATGAGAATCACTATGGTTTCTCCGATATTATTTATCCATGGAGCTTTTCTTTCACCATTGATAACATATTTATAGACGTGTTCTTAATTCAATTTATTTCTTTGATTGAAATTTTGTTTGAAACCAGTTTTAAAGTGGTTAATTCCACTTTATTTGTTTTTTTCTGTTCAACTTAAGTTATAAATCGCATTTCGGCAGTAGCGCCAGTATTCCTACCGGATGACATATGCTACAAAATGAAAAAATATTTCAATTCAAAAGTACAGAACTAAAACCAAGTCAGATTTTGGGATAGAGAACGGAACGCGAAAGTATGCGATGAAATAAACGAATGTAGTGCTAAAAAATATATTTGTAACCGTTGAATGCCATTTTTATTATTTGGATTGTGTCATGTGTAAAAGAGCTCCAGATTCATTTCTTACAAACTGCGTCATGGCTATAAATACCTACCAAATATATTTCTGATCGTTTCCCAAGTCACTTGCTTTTGTGAATAAATCAAAGAAAATGTCCATTGCACAAATTTAAACAGCGATTTCAACATCCAATTCCTAATTAAACTGGAAACAATGCAAACAGTTTAGGAATCAAACATTTTTTTTTTCAAAAGAATTCTTTTTCAGTCAATAATTCGAGCGTCCATTGTTGGCCTGCTACGGAAGATTGGTCTTTACAAATAAACGTTAAATGATTTAATTTAATCGTTTCCCAAAGTTTTATTTCTTATTAAAATGTTCATTTTTTTAATTCAAAGTTTTTATATTGAAAATTTAGTTGAGATTTCCTATTTTAAATGACATTTTTGTTTCAAAGGATATCATATTATTATTACTAACTTTTGATTTGATAGACATAAGTTTGAATGCGTCAGTGGTCGTCAGTTATTTGCTTAACAAAAAAGACAATACATCTATGATGCGGCCCATTTCGACAGACCATTTCATACGTCCGTATGTTTGCAAAAGGCGGAAGCATTTCTCTTTCATCGAATCGATTTGTTTGCGATTATACAGGCCTTTGTGTAAAGTGTGCATCTTGAATGTTTTTTCAATGAATTGAAAATCGTCATCCGATTGCATTCGACGATCGGATGGCAACGATTTAAGCTTGCAACGCAAGCATTTACACTTTACATATCTACTCTGCAATATTGCCCGACGTTCTGCTTCTGATGCAAACATATCCCATGTAATGTATGAAATGAATAGCTGTTCGTTTTTCTTGATTGGACGAATGACAATGCAATTGATAGAACCATCTTTGAACACGTGACAAACATTTGGAATGCATGAATGATGGAGATATTTAGCGACGATATTAACATAGGTGTCAGTAATATTAACGCCACCAATTGGTGCACTTCGTTTGTTGAATGCACCACGCAGGATCATAGAAATATGATGTTGCACTAGGTGCATTAAAAATCGCTGATGGGCTTTTGTATGAAAAAATGCCTTCATGTCCCTTTGTTCTAAAAGCAATTGATAAAATAGGTATGCCTGCTGCAAATGGAGTTCGTATGTTTGCCAGTCAGGACACAACTGGAAGAATGCGCGATATTTTGACCGTTCATCCACAAGATTTGATGGTTGAATTGCGTCACTGTTCAGCATATCTTCGACGAAAACCGTTAATTCATCGGCATTTGAAAACGCATTTTTCGCCAACGTAATTGAACGCACCACATCCATGAATTTAAACCCGGCCGGACATCCAAAATTCATATCGCATTCGATTCCATGTAGATTGTTTTCTTTACAGTCCAAACAGAATAATGCGCTTGTACATCTGTTGCACGAAACAAAATTTTGATTTTACTTGAGACAAATGTTGCATGACTTATAATGATCGAATTTTGTGACACCGATATAACATGGCTCGATCAAAACGGTTTTTCCGATTTCAATGTCTTCCGTCGCCACGATATGATGGCCGAATTCATCGTTGCTTTGCATATTCACTACATTTGCTAAGCATGGAAACTGTTCATTGGCTGCGAAGTCCAGTTTTGGCTCACCCATTTCACTTTGATCTGGTTCGGTTTCCATTAATTTCAAGCAATCGTTCTTCCAACCATTCAATTTTGCGATTAGATGCGCTGGACAGTTGTTTTGCTTGGCCAGTTCAATATCAGCGAGGCACTTTTTAAACATCTTTAATTGGAAAAAACACGTTGAACGATTTGCATAACCCAATCCAAGTGCTTTAGACCCGTTGTTTGCAAAGCACAGCGATTTGTTGTACAACTCCATTGCATCGTAAAATTGGCCTTTTTCGAATTTTTTATTGCCAAATTGTCGGAATGTATTTGCGATCACGTCATTTTTATAGTATGAAACATCAGTATTGCACTCCAATCTCGACATTTTGTTCAACAGATATTGCACTTCCACTGGCTCTTGAGCGTTCAACGATGATTCAAATAAATCAACGTACATCGCATTTCTGTCATTCGACTCTTTTTTCCACAACATTTTCACGGGTTAACTTCACTTTTTCGTGGATAATACGTTTATTCCGGTTTATTTAAAAATCAACTCAGTAGTTGTTGACTTTCTTAGCTAGTGTTGAACGATGTTGTCACTGCTCTGGCCAATTTACGAATAACGTGCGTTTGCAATCGATTCGAAAAGTCGAAATGTTCATGATTCAAACGAAAACAACGGATTCTTTGTTTATTTTTACCAATACATTGGCGACGATAATGTGTTTACTTAATGAGAAGCAAAGATATTGTGTGACTTCATTCAATTCAACTGCTGACGCAAACTTAGAAAGCGAATATGTATAGAATGTGTTATGTCGATAGCGTGCACTGTGCAGTGCTGGACAAATTTCTTTTGCCAAAGTAAACAAATTATGTTTTTTTTTATCCTACTGTTTCTCGTTACTTTTTCCTTTCTTCGTTCTTTCGCAATGTGAAAAAAATCAGAAAATAAACTAGCACAAACAAAAGAAATGTAACTGATAACTTATGCTAAACGAAATATGCTGAGCTAGCAATCGTCTGAAAAAGACTGAGTTCACGGAATCAGTAGTTTATCTAAATATGAAAACAATGACTGAAATATTCGGGATCTTTCTCTTCTTATTGTGAGAAACTCATTTATATTTCATGGAGCGCAATGAGTCTTCTAATTTTTTAAACGTGAAAGAACTTAAAACTGTTCTAGCAGTTACTTCATATTAAGAAGAAAAAACTAGAAGACTCATTGCATTTCACGAAATATAAATGAATTTGACAATAAGAAGAAGAAGGAGATCCCGAATATCAGTCCCTGTTAAAATACAGTCGATTTCAAGTTTTATACTCACACAACCGTACTATTAATACACCATTCGTTACACTAGCACACAAGTATTATACAAACACACACACACGCACACTTGCTCACACAAGCGTGATTTGCCAAACATACTTTCACAGGCATGCAAAATGTACAACCGATAGAAGCCGATCGTGTATTGTGTGTTGGTTAAACAAAATTGCACCTTCACTAGCACTTTATGAAAATAAGCACGTTTGAGTGTATTCATGCGCGAACGGTGTGTATTTTCAAGCGATCAGTTAAAAAATAATGCTGTTATCAAAACATGACCAAAAAATATTCAGATTGAGTTTTATTCGCTTTATTCCGTCCTTCAATCGGTTATACTGATGACAGATTAGACATGTACGATTGATTAATCATTCTATTTACTTTCCACCATAACAAGAGTATCAAGTGATTTTCCTTTAGTCTCCTTCATGAAAAGCACAAAAATGATGCCCAAACAACAGTTAATGGCAAGAAGAAACATGAATCCGTGTAGGTAAATTATTTCCAGCAAAATCGGAAAAGATTTTCCAACGACAAATGCCACCAAGTTATTTACCGTTGAGTAGAAGACCATGCCTACCGGACGAATCTATGAAAAAACATTTCAGTTCATGTTATACGTTGGGTTTCGATTGGAATAATTAGAATGCACTTACACTTGTTGCAAATGCTTACCTTTGTCGGAAAGTTTTCTATGACGCAAGTATTCGCTATGGCCGAGATTCCGGCAGAAGAACTGAAAATAGCGAATGATAGACACACAACAGGAAGCCATGCGTAATTTACCAGCTCAAAACTATGGTGAAGGAGGTACAAATACGTTGAAAAAACGAATAATCCAAATGCCAAACCGAGTAATGATGTGAACAAAATGGTTTTTCTTCCAAAAGCATCACCAATTTGAGTTGACGTGAGTCCACCGATAATTTGAACAATTGCCAAAATGATGGCTGATATGTCTGGGCTGAATGCCGATTGTGAAATTTTAAAAATCATCGACGCATAGGAAATAAAAAGCGACTCTGATGTGAACCATGACATTGCCATACATGTAACAATTCCTTTGAACGCCGACCAATTACAGAAATCTTTCAATTGCAGCTTCGGACAATTTTTTCGCTCTTCTTCCAACAGTTTCATCCGCTCAAATTCAGACTTTAAATGAGTTTTCTCTCGATCAGTCTCGCCCGTACATCCCTTGTAATACTTCAACGATTTTTCAGCACTCTGCATTTAAACGTTTGATATGTTTTAACTAAACACCTAGCTAGATCACTTTGCTAACACATGCACACTTCATATCACAGAAAAAAAAGAAATACTTGCCTGTAAATTCCCCGCTTTTAGATGGTACTGTGGAGTGCTTGGCAAAAAGTATACCAGAAACAAGTATAAAATAGGCAACGAGATGAAAACATACGGCCTGTGTTCATATTCGATCAAAGCACCTCCAATATAACCCATCAACACTCCCAAATTGTTGGCCAATGGGACCAACGAGCCAAGACGGCCACGAACGCTAAAACAAGTCGTTTATTAGTTCTACGTACTTGAATCAAGTTCAACTCAAGGCATTCACTTGTCGTTTGATACTTCGGAGATAAATAGGACCACGCCTGACGAAAAACCACCGCCTGTCACACCAGATGTGAACATCGCCAGTAAAATATGGTATACATTGTTGCCAAAATGAATAAATAACCAGGATATGATCACGGGAAATGCTAGGAACACTATCGTTCGTTTGGAACCGTACAATATTGACAGTAGCCCAGTTATGAATGTTCCGGCGACTGCTCCAATACTGATGATAGAACCAATCCACGACAATTCTGTGTATGTCAATGGGCCAGATGCAAGCGGAGTGTTGTTCGATAAAAGTACTGGCAAAGCGGGCGACAAAAATCCCATATTACATCCGTAACAGAAAATGACATAGCAGGCTGATGCAAAATTAAAAATAGTAGGATTAATGGTATCTATATAAACATTCAAAATCTCACCAATTAAAGCAGCAAATATTTGATGTTTTACAATTGCCAAACCAAAATTTCCTTCTATATCCTCCATGATTTATATTACAAATGATTTCAAGCAAAATAAATCAAAGATGTTACTTTCGCTCATAAATACCTATTTATTTCAGTCCAACAGACATAGAAGCGATAAGTTATCTTGCGATTCAGAAAAAACAACGATGATTACACGATGAATTAAATAAGATTACATTGTCATTCAATTCAAAATTGAGCTTTGTTCGCGTGAAACTCCTCTTACGCAAAAACCACGATTCTCTATTCAATCGCATGGAATTTTGTTCTGATGATACATTTGACGTGCCTATTGAATGTTCAGTATTGTTATTAATTTATCAATCTACTAGCGACCAACGTATAATGAAACACTGAGTCTCAATTGAAATCATACCCACAGAACGCAACTTCTTACTCAAAGAGCGATTAATGGAGATGATAAAATTATTCAACTCAAAGTGTTACTCATAAATTGGCTCCAGTACTGACTATGCTTTCCCACAAAATCAAAGGTCAGCGGACTAACAAATCGTTAGATTATTTTCTTAAATTAAATATTGAATATGGTTGATTGCTGCTATGTCAATCATCATGGATTTCCGGCATTCGGTTGTATGGCACCATTTGCATTGCGAGCGGTTGGCAGCAGCGTTGGATGGATCGGCAAACCGAACAGCTGACAATGACCTGAATAAATAAATTATCAATTCAAAGTATATGAGTATAGTCTTTTATTCACAAAATTCCGATCACTTTTGTACATACCTTTGTATAAGATCAGCTTCGCTGCTGAGATTTCACGATGCCAGACCGCTTTGAGTGTGTTCTGTGGCTGAGCAGCATCTTCCAATTCAACATTTAAACCATTTGGTTGCCATGTTTTGACGAAGCGTGTCTTCGTTGGTACCAAACGGCTTGTGTTTGTTGATGTCAAAGTTGCTGCAATAGGATCACCCATGTCTCGCATCTGTCGCCATGTTCGTTCGAATGCTCGCTTCATTTGAAGTGCACGTTTGCACACATTGGTCACGATGGTTCGGGGCAAGCCAACACGTGGATCTGGACGACAATCGTTGCATTTCTTGAATCGATCACCTCGAGTGTGTCGTGGATATTGTTTGAAGCAGCGGCCACACAATTGAGATGTCATGAATTCATTGACCATTCGAACAATGACATTGCCACGCTTTTTGAATGCGGCAATTAACTTGCGGTTGCCTGGACATCGCACATGCTTCTTGATTCGTATTGGCGAATTCGCTGGAACGTCCGCGGCACCCATGTAAACTATGGCCACCTTGCCATTTACCAGTTCAGCAGCCTTTTCGTCCATCGCACGAACCTCTTCAATGTGCTTGTCCAATCCCAGACGTGCAATTCCACGAATCGTGTAGGTTTCAATGCCATTTTTCATTACCCGCAACCGATGCTCGATGTACGATAGCCAGTGTACGCCACATGGAGACGGCATTTGTCCGATAGCTGCTGCTGTTTCCTTGAGATCGTATTTTTCTTCGAATGTAAAGAGTCGAGTCATACGCTCACGTTTTGCATCGCGAAGGTATTTCTTTGCGTTTATGTTTTCAAATTTGTCTGAATCAAATGATAAACGGACAATTTAAATTTACATTCAATTTAATTTTCTAATCAAAATCGCTCACCTCTTCGCCGGTGCGGGTGTCACGACGAACGGTTGCATTCAATGTACGTACTCCCGGGTCGATGCCCAATTCGTAGGGAAATTTTCCAGCCTCATGTTGGCGTTGCAGCTCCTCATCGCTCATTTCGGTTGTTTGTTTTTTCGGTTGCTCAAACAAAACCGACACGGACACACCATCAGAAAAATTTAAATAATTTTGGTGATGATGTTATTTATCTGCTGAATTCTAGATCTGCAAGGAGCCGTAGTGGTGGTAAGTTGTTTGGATAACACATGATTGTTTAATGTTAGATTATTGTTTTACAAATCGATGTTCACTCATTTCATTTATAGGCTCCAGATTGTGCATGAAACATAATTTTTTCCAATTCCGAGAAAAAGTGTACAAAATGGAATTCGGCACCAAAATGGGCAATCCACTGAGTCCTATTATCGCGGATTTGTTCATGTCATCGTTTGAAGTGAATTTGAAAAGACAAAACTTGTTACCGAGAGTGTGGCACAGATATGTTGGTGACATTTGGGCTGTGATAGACAAAAATGATATTGAAAGTGCTATGGACACTCTAAACGAGCAATTCGAATCGATCAATTTTACGTATGAAACGGGAAAAGACGGAAAATTACCGTTCTTGGAGGCTCATTTAATTTTGATCCTCAAATTTCGAAAAGGATCCGAAAAATATTTAAAATGATCAGAAACTTTTTTTACAAATTTGATCCGAACAATTTGCAAAGTATCCGAAAAATATTCAAAATGATCAGAAACGTTTTTTATTAGTTTGATCAGAAAAAAACCTAATATGATCAGAAAATTTTGGAAATTAGCCGAAAAATATCTAAAATGATCAGAAATGCTCTTTTCAAAATTGATCAGAAAAAAAAAATACAATGAACAGAACTATATTTAATAATATCCGAAATCGTTTCATAAACGGGTCAGAAAAAAATGGGTATTCTCCAGAAAAATACACCAAATATACCAAGGAAATAAAATTTATTAAAGGTGTTCACTCACAATTTTGAGTAAGATTCAATGCATTTACACTGAGAAAGGCTTCTTGAAAAATGATTTATTTTATTTTTATTTTATTTTTATTTTTTATTGAGTATGAGGTGTAAATAACAGGAAAAATTCCTTTTACAATTTATTGTGTTGATATGCTATGTATTGATGATATTAATTGCAAAACCGTTCAAAAACGCCATCCATTCGAACTTTGTTGTTCCCAAGATCGCTTAATAAACGAAGAAAAACGACACGCAGCACTCTAGGCGAGGGACACTCAAAACAGTCATCGTACATATATTGAGCGGGCACTATCGATGCGTTCATTTGTGTGAGTGCGATTGTGTAAACGACAATGTTCGTGTTCAATATGTGTACGATGACAGCTTCGAGCATTCCACGCGTAGAGCGTCTTGGCGTCTTACGTCAAATCTTTCACATGTATTTGTATACGAAGAAAGCGACCTTGTTGTTCCATATACTTCAAAAAATCGATTTCAAGCTCTGATTAACGTTTCATCCAAGAAGGTAGCTTTAATAGAAAAAATCAAAGCCAAATTGGTCTTTAAATATTAATATTTGAAGAGAAATCAATTTTGAGCATAATAAACCCAAAAACAACTATTCCATAGTTGTTATTAATCGAATTATTGAAGCAAAACGCTATCTCCCCACTTTTCCCAAAACAGTAATCTCGGTAATAAGTAAAAAGTATCTCGGCTTTCATTTAGTGCAAAAACTTTTGAATCAGGTGTTATAACTTATGGTAAAACTATTAAGTTTTCTGGTCAAAATGCGGGTGACCGGTCATATTTTCCCCGGTCATAACTTCCCTCATACAAAATGAATGGAGAATTTATGGCCGAAATGACGGAGAAAATAATTCCATTTCAAATTTGGACATAAATTCCCCATCTAAAAAATTTTGATTAGAGAAAATAAGTCCAAAAATCAGAAGAAATTATATCCAAATGCATATGGACATAATTTCCCGGGGAAATTATGACCAAAGAGTCAGTGGAATTAAAACCAATTGAAAATGGACATAATTTCCCCACGTATTTTTCATCGAATAATTGTACATAAATAATGAAATTAGCGTCACTTGAAGCGTTATTATTGAATGTAAAAAAAATTGGCCCAAAATGTTTGTTTCTTCTTCTGCCACATTTCACGTTCATCGTGATTTGTGGCACTCTCACTTGCTTGAGTGAGCTGCACTCGTCGTTCTTTATCTAACGCGAATTGGAGGCGAGAAATGAGTCCACTTTTTTTTCCACCAATTTTTAAATTTCTGTCCGATAACTCTCGGCGTAATTCGATTACGCGCAATTTTGTTGGCTCAACCATTTTTTTTTATTTGAACACGAAATAAAAATAAAATTGATTGAAAAAACTCAAAACTTTAGCACAAATTGACTTGCTTGTCACTCATGTTACTTCAGACTGAAGTGTGAAAGTGCTCAATATCATCGCATTTATTATTTGTTAATTCATAGAAAAGAACAAATTGTTCCATTTAATTTCATAAAATAACTCGAAAACTTTGTTTCAAACGGTTAAAAACAGTAAATAACAAATGCGCTATTTCTTCAATAATATTGCTATTTTTTGCTATTTTTGCTATTTTCCTCTAGTATTTATATGAACTTCAAAAAAATAGCTAATGGTGTCTCTCCCCATGCGTTTACTCCAACCGACCCAAAATTCCAAGAATTCTGGGCTAATCGTCACATTTCTCATTCTCCATCTCTTCTTCAATGTGCCGATGTCCCAATGTTTTATGCATGTACCAATGGAGATGATAATTCCATTTCAAATTTGGACATAACTTCCCCATCTAAAAAATTTTGATTAGAGAAAATATGTCCAAAAATCAGAAGAAATTATATCCAAATGCATATGGACATAATTTCTCGGGGAAATTATGACCAAAGAGTCAGTGGAATTATATCCAATTGAAAATGGACATAATTTCCCCATAGATTTTTTTGGATTTTGGGGAAATTTTGTCCGAAATTCGGTGGAATTATGACCGGGGAAGTTATGCCCTGTAGCCAAAATGCGAATTTACTCTGGTCATTTTCGGATATTTTTATGATAAAAATATTTTTTTTCTGATCATATTTCGAAAAATTCTCTGTTAATTTTCGATATATTTCTGATAAATTCTATTTTTTTCTGATCAAGTTTTGAAAAGAGTTTCTGATAATTTTAAATACACTTCTGATCATTGTACTTTTTTTCTGATCAATTTTGGAAAAAGCATTTCTGATCATTTTAGATATTTTTCGGCTAATTTCCAAATTTTTCTGATCAAATTAATAAAAAAAGTTTCTGATCATTTTGAATATTCTTCTGATCATTTTTGATATTTTTCTGGTAATTTTCCATATGTTCGGATCATAATTAATTAATCCGTTCTTGGACTTAGAAGCATGGCATAATTTAAGGAAATTTCAGAACTACCCGAAGTTTGCCAAATTTGCGGGGGCTTGAAAAGAGCAATTATTTAAATTAAATATATAAAAAGAGTTACATTCGTGATGCCGTACTTTTTCGCACTGTACTTTTTTTCATTGCTTTGAACGAAAAAACATATTTTCAACTCATCGAAAACATCGCAACTACAGGGAAATGCTATAAATGCATTTACTACAAGCTATTTTAATAATAGATGTCGCTATAATATTGAGTGTGTACACTCTGTGGTCACGTTTGACGTTTATTTTGCCATGTTCTTATTTTTTACAACAACAAATCACACACATTCTGTGTAGTTCGGTACACTGTACACAGAAATTCCAGATGGCGCCAGTTGTATTAAATCGCTAGTTGCGCAGCTATGAAAAGTTGAGACCTAAAAACTAAACTCGCGCATACGCGATCAACATAACACTTTCAGAATCTTTTTTTTGCCAAAAAAATGAAACCTTAGAAAGTTTGAAGCCACTAGGAATTGATTTACGGGTACCTCCCATACAAAATTGTCATTTTTGGAGGTTTTTCTTAAGGGAAGTACCCCAGGGTCAAATCAAAAATGGCTCAATTTCGAACTTGAACTAAGTTTTTCGGATACAAAACTTCAAAAAATTCCAAATTTTGGATTATCTCATTCGATTTTTGAGTTACGCCAACGACAACGGCACACGAACGGAAAAGTGTCTCAAAAATGTGTTTTCTACGCGTTTCATGAGTTTTTATGATGATCTAAGACAATTTTGCGAGAAAAAAAATTCGGGGCATGTTCCTATACTTTCCCTTTACACTATGTGTACGGTAATGATAAGTAAAGTAATACCAAAAATCAATCAATGAGAATTCACACATTCGATAGCGCGTGAAACCTATTGTCTGTATGTGTACAGTTTGGTAGCTCTAAAATCATGACTGTTTTCAGCGTGTAGTTCAAATTTTCTTTGTTTTTCTTTATATTCTTTCTTCATTTCCTTCGATTTTAGAACTGCCCAAATCGCGATTCAGAGCTGCCCGTTTTAATTTCAGAATTGCCCGTTTGAGCCTGAACTGCCCGCTAAATTATGCCGTGCTTAGAAGTACAAAGAATTAGAAAGAAATTAGAATTCGCAATGTATCACAAACCCACTAGTACTATGCGCACCATAACAAGCGATTCGTACTGTCCAATCCAGCACAAATTGGCAGCATATCATTCAATGGTTCATCGTTTATGCCGCTTGCCGTTGAACATTGTCAATTTTCGAAACGAATGCACTTATATATCAAAGAAACAGCGCGTATGAATGGTTTCAATGTAGAAATAGTGGATAAACTCATTTAAAAACACGGAAATAAAGTGAGAAACATGAGCCTTACGACACTTTTTTCGCAAAGAGACAGGCCAGAAAAACAGAGAGTCTCATTTGAATTCGTTCCGAGCATAACAAATAAACTGAAGAAAAAATTCGCTGAATACCAGATGGAAATCGTATTTAGAAACGACAACAAACTGTCTAATTTGTTAGGCTCAACGAAGGATAAGATT